AATCCAGGTAAAGATTAGAATGGGGTCTGGCATAGAGTAGAGGCTTAATAAATGTCAGTTTATACATCATTTTTTTTTTCACTTTTTACGTTCCCCATTTTTAAAAAACAGAATACTAACAAACCAATAACAAATGGTTAAAAGAAGAACTTAAAAAAAACTCTTTAAAAAACAGTATCTATTTCAAATTAATTACCCAGTTTGGACTTCAATGGCACCATATTACCTGTAATTGAGTGCCTTGATTATTTATCCCCAAGATTTTTAAAATCTTGAAGTGCATAAGAAAAAATTTTTTGAAAAATTAAAAAATTCCTGGAACCCTCCTTTTGGGACAGACTGTTCCTATTAGTGCTTTCTTGAAGACCCACATAAGTGAACCTTTTAGTTGTGTAGTAAAAAGCAATGACAAAATGGAGACATAGCTCTAAGGAGCTAAAATGTCTGCACAATAATGAAAAAATTTGTCTATGGCACTATCTTATGAATTGATATGATTTCCTAAACAAAAACAAACTTGTGATGGTCAACAGGTTGACTTATTGAAAAGGACATTAAAAGACAATTAGCATTATCAGTTGATAAAAGAAAATTGTATTTTATGTGAAAAGATAGACAAAATCACAGAATAAAGGACTGACCTTCTCAAGGAAGGATATGGATGTTTGAAGAGTTTCTATTTCCACCAAATAACACACACAGAGAGAGAGAGAGAGAAAGAGAGAGAGAGAGAGACAGAGAGAGACAGAAAGACAGAGAGAGAGAGAACACACGGAGAATGCACTCTTATTATGAACTAGTTTTGTGTTTTTTTGTTTTTTTTTTTACAAAAGAAATCCTGGCACAGGCAGAGCTGACTTTCTACAGTCTTTCCTCCAGAAAAGTCTTTCTTTTCTATGCAGGGTTTGAACTTGTTCCAGGTCTGAAGACCCTTCCTGGTTCTTATGCGGATGCCTGTCTTTGTACCATGAGTAGATTGTTGTGGGCACACTCACGGGCACGGGGATGAAGAGAGATCAGAGCAGAGGCAGTGGGAAGCTCAGGTGGACATTCTCTAAGTTTCTATTTTTTTTTTTAATTTCATATGTTCTGTCGTAATTTTTAGTTTCCTTTGTCTATCATCTATTTTTGCTAGACTTACTCAGTTACAATTCATGAGTGGACTTAACTAGTTTTGAAAATACTTTACTTCTCCATCTAGTCTGTTAGATTGATTACAATGGCACTACCTCAATACTGGTGGATATTGACATAAGATTATGTAAATCTAGCTAACTGAAGCCATATGACACAACAGAATTACCCTTTGAGTTCAGGTAATATCATGTGATGACTTTTCTCTGTATGACTTTGTTCTACTTCCTTGTTTTAATAAAATAAAGTCCTATCTACATTTCTCCCAGTGCACACTAAAAGTTCTGCTTTTACCATCATCCAATTTACGCTAACACTGATATTTGTGAATCTCGAATACAAGTAGTGCTGCCACCCCACAGAGNAAGCAAGTGGCAGGGCTCAGTGAGGAGCCGAGCCAGGTGAGGGAGGCAGACCTGGCTGAACTGACCAGCTCCGCCCCCACCCGAGAAAATGGAGGCAGCCCTGGGGTCGGCGGCTGGTCTGGTGTGGCAGGCCGAAGCCGGACGGGGGTCTGCCTCGTAAGCAGGGCTGGGCTGTGAGTCACTCACAGAGCTGGACAGTCCAGGCAGCTCTCTCTCCGTTTCCGCGTTGGCGTGGACCCCGTCTTTGGTCTCTGGTCTCTGCCGCCTGGGGCTGCTTACTTGGTCCGCGGCGCGGCTCGGGCGCTCTCAGGAATCTTCTTTTGTGTTGGCCCTAAACTTCGAGTCNTGGTATCTTTTTTTTGATGTTTATTCATTTTGGCAGGGGGTTTCACAGTGCCCAGGTTTGATCCTATTGGCTCAGTTGGCCTCTAGTGACTTGTGTGTGTAGTTGCCTCGAGTCTTGGGCCTCTCCGGGGAGGCTCCTCTCTGGTCAGTTTGGACTCTGCTGGGCTGCTGGATCACAGGACGGTACCGCAGGTTGTGTGTCCTCTTTTCAGCTTCTACTTCCCGTGTAGATTTTCTCTCTGTTCCATGTGCTCTGATGCTGGCTGCTGGATCCCGCTGTGGTGGCCCCACAGGTTGTGTGTTATCTGCCGAGTCTGCACACTAAGTGGGGCTGTTGGATCTTACCGGGGCGGCCCGCAAGGTGTGTTTTTTTTCCTGCTGAGTCTCCACCTCCGTAACCGGACACTCCCCTCTCTGAGCTGGGGTGTGTCTACTGCAACCCTGTCTATCAGCCGTGTCCTCAAGTGCCTGCTCAGCTCAGCCCCGCCAAGGAATACTTTCAGGTTTCTCCTGGACGCAGTCTACCCGTCGCTCTGGGTGGCTTTG